ATTCGAGAGAGAGAATGAGAGACAGAGAGCACGAGAGGGAAGAGGGTCAGAGGGAGAAGCAGATGCCCCGCTGAGTGGGGAGCCCGATGTGGGACTCGATCCCGGGACTCCAGGATCATGACCTGAGCCGAAGGCAGTCGCTTAACCAACTGAGCCACCCAGGCGCCCTAAATACATAAATTTTTAAAAACTAAAACTCCCCCAAGGACTTCAAAGAAAGAGCAGATTGGAGGAGGGTGATGAGTTCATTGAGGTCACTGCTGGTCAGAGGCGACACTGAGGCCCAGGAGTGAGACAGCTACCCTTAGGTCACCTAGCTCCAGGGTTAGGGACGAATACAGGGAAGAATGAACCCATTGAACTCCACCATGAACCTATTTCTCTAATGCCTGTCTCTTTGCACATGTTCCCATGACTGCAGAAGCTCTTATGAAACCCACACAGATCATCGGAGGGCCCAACCTCTACCCCCATTTTCTCTGGATTGTGATGTCGGAGGACTTAGTGCTTCTATTCCTCCTCCAGACCTTAAGTCAGTATGTTGTTGAAACCCCGAGCCCTGGGGTATGTCTGTGTCCACTCTATGTAGAGGTAATCCCATTACTGGCAACCAGTATAAACAGGTGTGGAGGGTTCTTCCAGGAACTGGTTCCAAGATTTCCAAATGCTTACAGGTAAAAGTGAGCTGGTGGTGGTCAGGAAACCACAGGTCTCCTTTCTTTCTTTCATTTATTTATTTATTTTAGATTTTATTTATCATTTGACAGAGAGAGAGCACAAGCAGGGGGAGCAGCAGAGGGAGAGGGAGAAGCAGGCTCCCCACTGAGCAAGGAGCCTGCCATGGGGCCCGATGCCAGGACCCTGGGATCATGACCTGAGCCGAAGGCAGACCCTTAACCAATTGAGCCACCCAGGTGCTCCTCCTTTCATTTATTTTATTATTATTTTTTAAGGATTTCATTTATTTATTTGAGAGAGAAAGTGAGAGAGAGAGAGCATGAGCAGAGGGAGGTAGGAGGAGAAGCAGACTCCCTGATGTAGGACTTGATTCCAGGACCCTGGGATCATGACCTGAGCTGAAAGCAGACACTCAACTGACTGAACCACCCAGGCACCCCCCCTTTTTTAAGATTTTATTTATTTATTTGAGAGAGAGAGAGTACAAGCAGGGGGAGGGGCAGAGGGAGAGAGAGAAGCAGGCTCCCCATGAGCAGGGAGCCCTCTCCTTTCTTTTAGAGGAGATAAAAAAGCAGAGGACAATAAGTCAGGATAAGAATGGTTGCCTGAAAAGGTGTTTGTCTTGAGGTGGTGGGAGGTTTGGATCAGAGGAGGGAGAGGCCATCTTACCAAGGTCTTAACAGGTTGTAGAGTGGAGGACAGACTGGAGTTGGGGGAGGAGGAAGGGAAGAGTAGAGGCTATTGCCATAGTCCAAGGGATGGTTAATGGATGAGAGCAGTGGCTTAGGAAAAGTGGTTGGATTCTGGCCGCAGAAGGAGGATGTCCTGGGGACAGGATATGGCAGGTGACCAAGGTTTCCAAGGGAAAAATGGGCATGGGAGGCCTAGGGGTAATTGAAGCAAGGGGACCGTCAGGTTGGAGTTGGTGCTCATTCACTGCTCTGTGGCCTCCTCCAGGATTTTTTGGTGACTTTGGTGTGCTCTGGATGTTTCATTCAACCTAGAAGATGAGATCAGGGACAAATGTCATCTGTTACGGTCAGTAGGCCTTGGGTGGGCCACCAGTGGCCTGAGCCTTGAATGGAGGTCAAGTGGACAGAGGAAGAGGAAGGTCAACTGCTAAGCCAACAGCAAGTACAGTATAGAAGTGGAAGAGGGATGGGGCGCCTGCGTGGCTCATTCGTTAAGCGTCTGCCTTCGGCTCAGGTCATGGTCCCAGCGTCCTGGGATCGAGCCCCGCATCGGGCTGCCTGCTCCGCGGGAAGCCTGCTTCTCCCTCTCCCACTCCCCCGCTTGTGTTCCCTCTCCCGTTGTGTCTCTCTCTGTCAAATAAATAAAATCTTAAAAAAAAAAAAAGAAGTGGAAGAGGGCTGTAGGTATCTGAATTCAACACATGATTCTTGTTGCCAACACTGAGGCAAGGACTGGAGCCAAGCAGGGAGGGCTTCAATGAAGACTTTGGCATTAGCACCACTAACGAGAGCCATGGGAAGTCTAGGTCACTATTGATTCCTGTATGAATTTGACAAGCATCCTCTGGATGCCGTTTGCTAAATGTGGTATAAGGCCTGAAATTAAGTCCCAATATTATATGCTACCTTAACATACGGTGAAACCAGGACAACCTCAAATGGCCTGAGCACCAGGTCCCCACTTCACTCTGCTCCTGCAGATAAGGTCTTTTTTTTTTCTTTAATTAAAAAAAATTTTTTAAGTTTTTTTTATTAAAGATTTTATTTATTTATTTGACAGAGAGAGAGCGAGAGAGGTAACACAAGCAGGGGGAGTGGGAACGGGAGAAGCAGGCTTCCCCCTGAGCAGAGAGCCCGATGTGGGGCTCGATCCTAGGACGCAGGGATCACGACCTGAGCTGAAGGCAGACGCCCAACGACTGAGCCACCCAGGCGCCCCAATTTAAAATTTTTTTAAAGTGGGCTCCACACCCAGCATGGAGCTCGATGGCAGGGCTTCAACTCATGACCCTGATACCAAGACATGAGCTCAGATGAAGAGTCGGATGCTTAACTGAATCACCCAGGTGCCCCACAGATATGGTCTTCTAACTGAACCCTTTTTATAAAAGGGATTAGGAATAGTTCCTGCTTATCTCTGTAGTGGGTTTCACTTCCTTGTCTGCTCTTTCTGGTTATTCAGAAAAGAGAATTGTATCCTTTTGTAGGAACCAGGGGGCACCTACCCTCTTGATACTAAATAATTGAATCCCACAGCTGCTGGTTGTTCAGTGTTTTCCAGAGTGTAACCCCATGTAGCCCTATGTGGTGTGTGGTGGCCTCCTATCCCAGACTGTGAATATGTATGGTTAATAAGATGCTGCTAGTCACCTCTGTCCAGTATTCTTGTGTGTCTGGCCATTCCCATAACTCTTAAGTAGGAATCCCACCCTCAACAGTAGAGTGAAAAGGAGGTGCTCAAAATACTTGAACATGTGTGGAGGCCAGGCAGATTCTTAAGTAGAGGGATGATGAGGTGGTGGTGGACATGGGCAGAGCTGTGGTATGGAAGATGTGAGAGATGTGCAGTCTCCATGTAGACATGGAGAGACAGTATGTCTGAGGGTCCCAGGGTCCTGGTGTTGGGGCTTACATGACGTTGTCCATACCAGGGAAATTGCCTGGCAGGGGTGTTGAATGCCTGTATGCCAGGTTCACAGTTTAGATACCTGTTTGCCTGCCTGCTTCTTATTGCTGATGGCTGGGCCTAGTAATTAATGGCCCCATAAGGAGACAACAGCACCTGTAGCACCAAGCCCATAGTTTCTACTCTGAGTTGGGGAATTGGGAGGATGGGCATGGGATAGGCATATGTGAGAATGGACTATAGATCTTTGGGAAAGTGGCTATTTGTGGTTTCATTTCTCCCAATCATGGCAGGTCAGTGTGACCTTTGAGGATGTGGCTGTGTACTGCTTCTCCTGGGAAAAATGGGGTCTCCTTGCTGAGGCTCAGAGATACCTGTACCATGATGTGATGCTGGAGAACTTGGCACTTGTGGTCTCACTGGGTAAGGCCCTCAAATGTACCCCTGTACCATGAGCTAGTCTCTGCTCTTCCCCTTTATCCATTGGCATGTCAGCCCTTTTCACATCAGGACCCTGGGCACTACTTCCTTCCCGGCTCCCTGAATAGGTGCTACGGTTGGTAGGGCTGGGGTGTGAACACTGCCCTCTCCTTCCTTGAGTAGGCCTGACACCTGTTACTCCTAGCCTGGAAGGTATGGATCCAGAATCAGAAGACTTGCAGTCATGGATTCCATCTTGCTTGCCTTCTCTGGAGAAGGTAATCCATCTCCAGGTGAATTTTCCAGGTCCAAGCTACCCTAGGTTCTACTTCGTTCCTCTAGCTAACATTTCCTCATTCTTCCTGTGCCAGAAATTGCCATTGCTGACTTGGGTTCATGATTTATGTTGACCATGGGCTATTCTTCAGGTTCTCTTTGTAATATTTAGTTTCCCTTCTTGTGGTCTGTCATGTGCTGAGTTAATTTTGTTCAGTGAGAGCTGCTTTTCGGTCCTGTCTTTACCTTAGTATTTGAATCATCCAGGTTCTGTGTAGTTGGTCATTCAGGAGGTGTGGAGAGGTTCACAGAATGGAAAGGAATCCAAGTGAAGCAAGACAAATTCAAACATAGCCTGGTCCTAAGAAGTGTCACCTGGGGGAGGGGCATGACACCAGGGCTGTGTACAAATCATACCAGAGACCTATTTGCTTGTCTTTTGGTGCCAATCACAGTGGCACCCACACCTCATTTTTGCCTGTCTTTACCCATTCTTCACACTTACCCACCTCGTCAGCTCTACTACTTGTCTCTTTACTCTTTTAGCTCGGGGATAATCCTCATCTCTCTAGACTCCACATCTCAGTGCTTTTTCATACTGGTCCATCTGCAATGTTTAGACATTGGCATATACATTTGTGTCATGAGGTAGGCACATTCTTAATCTCTGAACAACAGCAACTCTGTTGCAGTTGGATTTTCAAGGACCTGGACATAAGATTTGACATAGCACTCATGTGTCACCAATTGCTGCTGAAAGTTGTTTGCAGAGGAATGAGGTGTAGATCCTGCCTGTTCTCTTTGTGTCACATCTCATGATTTTGCCCTTCATCTCACAAGATGTCATCTTCAATCAGCCAATACTGCTAAGCAGCCTCATCCTCAACATGAACCCAACCGCCCTGTCCTACAGATAATCCCATGGACTCATTCTTGGGTTTGTCAGACATACATTTGTAGTAGTGCTGTCTCCCTACACAAAGTCAACATGTACTTCACCAGCATTTCTCTGCTTATAGGTTGTTAGCATGGAGCAGAGGATGAAGAAGCACTTTCTGAGCAGCATATTTCAGTTCAAGGGGGTTCACAGATCAGGACTGTCAATGCAGGTCTATCTTCCCAGAAGGCCAACCCCTGTGAGGAGCGTGGCTTGATCTTGAGTGACATTTTTCATCTGGGCGTACCAGAGGACACATCACAGGCAGAAATTATGCATGTATGGGGCATGTAAGAAACTATTTTATTTCAGAGCAAATGTTCATCAGCACCAAAAGCAGGGCACTGGAGAGAAACTATTGAGGAGCAATGTAAGGAGAGCCTTATTTGTGAATAACTGCAAATTCTGTGTGTCAGGGGGGAGGTTGGGAAGGACTTCCTGGACAACTCAGGATTTCATCATCAACAGGCCACACACACCAAGGAGAAGTCAAATAGTGGAACCAAGTGTGGGTATGCTTTTCCAAGGGAAAATACTCATTACAACAGGGGAGACTGCACAGAAACCTTCAGCTGCAAATATCCATTTGTTCAGTGCCAGACAATCTGCCCTGGAGAAAGATGTTATATGGACAGTGAATGTGGGAAATCCTTTAGCCAAAATTCCCACCTCATTAGACATCAGTGAGTTCACACTGGAGAAAGGCCTTATGAGTGCAGTGAATGTGGGAAATCTTTTAGCCAAAACTCTAATCTTATTCAACATCAGAGAATTCACACTGAAGTAAGGCCTTATGAGGGCAGTCAATGTAGGAAATCTTTTTGCCAAAGCTCTGCTCATCCAAACATATACAAAAATTCCAAGTATTTTGGAGCTGCACTGCAATAGGAGAGTTCACACTACAGAAAGGCTTTATGAATGTAGTGAATGTGAGAGATCCTTTAGATATATGTCCAACCTCATTACATATCAGAGAGTTCACACCAGAAAAAGGCCTTACGAATGCAGTCAGTGTGGGAAATCCTTTAGGAAAAGCTCTGCACTCCTTCAACATTGGAGAGTTCACACTGGGAAAAGGCCTTACGAATGCAGCGAATGTGGGAAATCATTTCGCCAAAATGTGGTGCTCCGTCAACATCAGAGGGTTCACACTGGAGAAGAACCTTATCACTGCAATGAATGTGAGAAATCATTTAGACATATATCCAGCCTCATTGCACATCAGAAAGTTCACACTGGAGAAAGGCCTTATGAATGCAGTGAATGTGGGAAATCCTTTGAGAAAAGCTGTTCACTCGTTTACCATCGGAGAGTACACACTGGAAAAAGGCCTTACAAATGCAGTGAATGTGGGAAATCATTTCGTCAAAATTTGTGCTCCTTCAACATCAGAGGATTCACACTGGAGAAAAGCCTTATCAGTGCAGTGAATGTGAGAAATTCTTTAGCCAAAGCTCTACCCTCACCACACGTCAGAAAATTCACACTGAAAAATGACCTTATAATTTGAGGAATGTGTGCAATCCTAGAATGACAGCTTCAGGCCCTTAAAATACCAAAATGCTTACTCGGAAGAAAAGAATGCACTGTATGTTGAAATCCCCTACTAAAAACACCAGCCTCATGAAACAGAGTTCACACTGCATCAAGGTCTTATGAATAAAATGAATGTGAGAAAGCCAGAAGCCCAAAGCCTTCACTCTTTGGATACCACAGATTTAACATGGGTAAAAATATCTTTCATGTGCAGGGATGTACAATTTACTTTTTCCATATATCAAAACTTGGGGCGATCCCTAATGAGAGCGCTGTCTGAATTGAACCTCATCCAAACATATACAAAAATTCCAAGTATTTTGGAGCTGCACTGCAACTTTTTAACTTGCCCATGGCCCTTCCAGATTTATGCCACTGGTAGTTTCTGCAGAAGAAGCCATTTCACCTCTACCACCTGGCAGGTGTCTGTAGTATACATCATTCATCCAATCCAGTGAGTTCAGGGAAGGGAACCTTGGTGTTTTCCATTCACAGCAGAGATTACTGAGAAGTCCTAGTGAGTACTCCTTTATTTTTTCTCTTTGATGTGCTATGCCTTGTACCTGTCCCATTTTTTGGTTCAGTCAGTGGGCTATGCTCTTGACTTGACAACATGAACTTTTTGCAGGGGTATTGGTTTCAAGTGATTCCTATGATGGAATTTCCCAGCCATCAAGTCACCAGTCCAGGAGAAACTTGCCTTCCTATGCTCTGGTTTGTATGATGATAGAGGCCTTAGTTGTTACGCCACCTTTAATCTAGGGGTTCCGTTCACTATATGTAATGATCTGAAAAACAGTTGAGTTTTACAAACAAAGGGATGGTCCTTTTGTTGGGATACCAAGCTTTGTGTGCCTCAGAGGTGACAGTATGACGGCAGAGAGTAGTTCTCCAGTTTTGCCCTTGTTTGCATTGCTGCCCAAGGCCTCCAGTGAAAGACTGCAGGCATTCTGGACCTAATTTGTAGTTTGGGTTTTTTTTTTTTTCTTTTCTAATTTGTAGTTTAAATGCTGTAATATTTTCTAGGTTCCAAGGTCAACCTAAGAAGGGAGGAATTCTCATGACATTTTGGTGCTTCTGAGAGCACCATGAAATTCTTACTCACAGGGCATGTTGCCTTGTGGTCAGCACCGGTGAGGAAAACCTCCCAGGTCCTACAGTAGGGCTATGGGCCCTGATGTCCATAATTCTGTAGGGTAGTGTCACTGGTTGTAAGACTGTAGGGGAAATTATAATTGCCACAGAAACACTAGATTAGGGGCACCTAGCTGGCTCAGTCACAAAAGCATGTGACTCTTGATCTCAGGGTCTGGGGTTTGAACCCCACCTTGGGTGTAGAGATTACTAAAGAAACAACAACAACAAAACGCTAGATTTTTTTTAAAGATTTTATTTATTTATTTGAGACAGAGAGAATGAAAGAGAGAGAGAGAGCACACATGAGGGGGGGAGGGTCAGAGGGAGAAGCAGACTCCCCGCTGAGCAGGGAGCCCGAAGCGGGACTCTATCCAGGGACTCCAGGATCATGACCTGAGCCGAAGGCAGTCGCTTCAGGAACTGAGTCACTCAGGCACCCCAAAACGCTAGATTAACAGCAGCAGGAGACTAACAAAGTGCTTAGAATGTGCCTCTTTTAAACGAGTATCCACAATGTTCCAATCACTGTGGCTGTCAAGTATTACAAAAATTCTTAGACCTGAACTATAATCATACAGCATTAGGCACGAGGTAAAATAACCTAAAAGTTTTGTGGATTCTTGTAGCCTCTCTTGGCTGTCCTCAAGGCCATTTCTGTGCAGAGAAAAAAATAAGGACATAGAGAAGGGATAACTCCTTCCAATTATGGGAACTTTATGACCCAGCCAGTATTCCTATTGAATGGAATGGTGGAAAGTCTTCATTATTCACTTAATTTTTTTAAAGATTTTATTTATTTGAGAGAGAGTACAAGCAGAAGCAGCAGGCAGAGGGAGAAGCAGAGGTACTTTCTTTGTATCTTTGTCCCCTCTCAGGCTGCCATAACAAAATACCAGACTAGTTGGCTTAAAGAACAGAAATTTATTTTCTCATACTTCTCGAGGTTAGAACTCCAAGACCAAGGTACCATCAGGACTGGTATGTGGTGAGGCCACTCTTCCAGACAGCTGTCTTATTACATAGTCTGTCTTCTGTTCATGGGGAGAGAGACAGACACAGCATGCGAGAGCATACCTTCTAGTATCTTTTCTTCTAAGGACGCCAGTCACACTGCATTAGGCCCCCATCTTTATTACCTCACTTATCCTCAATTATCTTAGTAAAAGCCACACCTAAATATAGTTACACTGGGGAGCAGGACTTGAACAAATGAGTTCTGAGGGGGCACAATGCAGTCTATAACAGACTTACCTGTATTATGGGAAGGGTTTTATTCCTTGTGGACATTCTGATGTTTTAGGAGATTAGAGTTGAAGGTAAACAATTTCCCACATTCACTACACCCATAAGGTCTTTCTCTACTGTGCTCTCTGATGATTAATGAGGTCAGAGCTCTGGTTAAAGGATTTCCCACATACACTGCATTCATAAAGCCTTTCTCCAGTATGAACTCTTCGGTGCTTAATGAGGCTAGAGCTGTCACTAAAGGATTTCTGACACTACATTCATAAGGCCTTTCTCCAGTGTGACTTCTCTGGTATCTAATGAGGCTAGAGCTGTGGCAAAATGATTTCCCACATTCAGTGCATTCATAAGGCCTTTCCCTAGCGTGAACTCTCTGGTGTTGAAGGAGCGTGGAGCTATGGCTAAATAATTTCCCACATTCCCCATAATCATAAGGCCTTGCTCCAGTGTGAATTCTCCAGTGTGTAATGAGGCAGGATTTGCAGCTAAAGGACTTTCCACATTCGCTACACTCAAATGGCCTCTCTCCAGAGTGAACTCTCTGGCGTTTAATGAGGTTGGACAGGTTGGTAAGAACTTTCCACAATCATCACATTCGTGAGGTCTTAAACAAGTGTGAACTCTCTGATGCTGAAAGAAACGGTAGCTAGAGATAAAGAACTTACCACATTCACTGCACTCATAAGATCTTTCTCCAGCATGAACTCTCCAGTTTTTAATAAGGTGAGAGCTCTGGCTAAAGGATTTCCCACATTTCTCACACTCATAAGGCCTTTCTCCAGTGTGAATTCTCTGGTGTTTAATGAGACTAGAGCTGTGGCTTAAGGATTTCCCACATTCACTGCACTCGTAAGACCTTGTTCCAGTATGAATTCTCTGGTGAGTAATGAGGTTAGATTTGTAGCTAAAAAATTTCCCACATTCACTGCAGTCATATGGCTTTTCACCAGTGTGAACTTTCTGATGCATAATGAGGTTGTACTTCTTGCTAAATAATTTTCTGCATTCATCACATTCATGAGGTCATAGTCCATTGTGAACTCTCTGGTGTTGAATGAGGCCAAAACTTTGCCTAAAGGATTTCCCACATTCCCCACACTTATAGGCTTTTCTCTAGTGTGAACTCTCAAATGGTCATGGAGGCTACAGCTTTTTTTTTTTTTTAAGATTTTATTTATTTGAGAGAGAGAGAATGAGAGAGAGAGAGAGCACGAGAGGGAAGAGGGTCAGAGGGAGAAGGAGCCCGATGCGGGACTCGATACCGGGACTCCAGGATCATGACCTGAGCCGAAGGCAGTCGCTTAACCAACTGAGCCACCCAGGCGCCCGAGGCTACAGCTTTTGCTAAAGGATTTTCCACATTCACCACACCTGTAACATCTATCCCTCATGAGGACTTGCTGGTGCTGAACAAATGTGTGTTTGGGGTTGAAAGCTTTCATGCAGTCTTCCCTGTTATAATGACATCTTACACTGTGGAAGGCCACCGCACACTCAGTTCAACTGTTTGGACTTCCTGATGTGAGTGACCTGTTGCTGGAGAAAGCCCGGGTTGGCCAGGAAGTCCTTCCTAACTTCTTCATAGGTAAAGGGCTTCGCTGACACATGGATTTACATTTCTCCAAAAGCGAGGCTCTGCCCATGTTGCTTCTGAAGTGTTTCTCTTCAATTTGCTGCTTATGGTGCTGATGAAGGTTTGCAGTGACATGAAATCGTTTTCCACATGCCCCACACATGTACAGTTTCTGCTTAGGATGTGTTTCCTGGTGTTCAACCAAAGGTAAATGTCTCTCAAGATGGTTCCACACATCTCACAGAGGTGTGCCTTCTGGGGAGACATACCTGCTTTGGGAGTCCTGTCCAGTGACAATACTCTTGCAGAAATGCACTGCTCAAAAATGCAGCCTTATCCTCCACTCCACACCAACAACCTGAAGAAAAGAAACACTGGTAAAGTACATATTGACTGGTGAGAAGGGGAAACCTCTAGAAAAGTACCTGACAAACCCAGCAAGGAATCAGTAGGACTGTTTTGAAGACAAGACAGTTGGGTACAGATTGCAGATGGGCTGCTTAGCAGAACTGGGCCTCTAAAGATCACAGGATGTGGAAGGCCCCACAAGGTGAAAGATACACCATGGGGTACAATATAGGAGGGAAAGGCAGTCTACTACTTGTTCCCCTACAAATAACATTCAGCACATCTTGTCTTCTGCTGCCATGGTGTGTTATGTAGAAGAGTGTGTTCGGGCCCATGAAAACATGACTGCAACAGAGCAGCTGGTATTCAATGGCTGTCTAAGAATATGTGCACACATCATGACACAACATCTGGAAACCGATGTTGGAGAGCCCAGCAGGCAGAGCAATAATGGGTGGGATGTGGAGTTCACCAACATGGGGAATAACCCTGAGTTGGAAAAGTGACAAGCAGCAGAGATGACCAGTTGGCAGTGTCAAGAATGGGAAAGGCACTAATGAGGTTTGGCCACCGTTGTCATTACTACCACCAATACCAAATGGAATAGGTTTCTGTTATGATTTGAACAGAGCTCTGACATTGTGTGTCCCCCCGGGCC